CACATATATAATATTTCTTTATATATTATTCTTATTATATACATATATAATATTCTTTATTTTTTTACGTATGTATATATTCTTATATATATTCTTATTATATATATGTATATACATATATATAATATTCTTTATTCTTCTTATGCCCATTTTATGAACCAGGACTATACTCTTAGAATCTAGACCTTTCCCAAGAAAACCTTGCCCTTTTGTCCTTCTGGACTAAAAATGTAGAAAGGGAAGAATTGCCATGTCATTGTTCAGACAGAACCAGAAATAATATTGCCCTCAGAGCTGAACTTGGCCCCTATCAGAAGGATTGCCTTTCTTTTCTCATTATTCAGGGGGTGGGGAAACCATCACATGCTTTTAAATGCAGTTCAGTGAATTTTCATAAGGTTGTGGGGACCCATCGATGGCTCTGTCTGCTTGCCTATAAAATGGGACTCTGCAGGCATTCAGGAATGGAGATGGTCATTCTTTTCTAAAAGACACCAGGGAACCTATCTCACTTCCCCTCCATGCCCCGCCTCCTGCCACCAAAGGCCCTGTGAGGGCTCAGGCTGGGAGTGGGGATACCTGGGGTCTGGTGTTGTCATCATCCACTAATTAGCTGTGTCCACCACAAGAAAATCATATCTCATTCTGTTTTCTGTAAAAAGTGAAGGTTGAGATGTGCTCTCTAGAAACCCTGCCACCGTCCACTGATTTACCTTTTGTCTGATTTACTTATTTAAAAAAAAAAAACAACAACCTCACAGTGAGTGGGCAGGATCATGTACAATACATGGCCTGAGGAAAGAGGGGTTGATGGTAGTTGGGACCAATAGTTTGCTGTTACAGAGTCCAGAGACTGGAAAATGGCACATGTGCAAAGCTGGAAGTTTTGTTTAGAAGGTTCTCGAAGCTTAGGGAGGGACTTGCAACCAATAACATGACATTGAGAGGGAAGTCATTCCAGAGTAGCAGCTTCTGTTGCACTTGCTTTAAGGGTGCCCTTGGGATTCAGTCAGCACCAGTCAGCCCAGTCAGTCAGACTTCAGCCCAGCACCCACCAGCCCAAGGGACCCAGCAAAGGAGCCCATGTGGTGCTGGGGATGGAGGAAAGCCCAGCTGACCGCTTGAAATTGAGATGAGTAACAAATCCTGAGGGTGCATAAGAGGAAGCGTGCAGGCAAGCGGGTATCTAGGCACAGAATTCACTGGATAGCAGATTTCCAAGCCTCAACGATGCCTGAGGAAGGCAGATGCTGATGTCAAGAGGCTGAACACCTCTGTGTGAACACAGCCACCTTGCCTTGGCCTTGTGCACGCTTGGCTGGGGTTCTGGCCATTCAGCCAGGGTGCCTCAGGCTGGCTGTTGAAAGCCTTCAGCATAAAACCTGAAACACAAAGCCAAGGCCTCTAACAAAGTGAAGTGTCCCTTACGTCCATTGAAAAAGGGAAGCGCCAAAGAGGATTCTACCTGCCATGCTGAAACAGTGGCCTCAGCCAGCACTCCCTCCCTCCCCCCCGGCCACAACTGCATTCCCAGGGACAGCAAGGCCAACGAGGCCCCTGGTTAAGCATCCTCCCAAAGCATTCAGTGAGGCACAGGAAGGGCGGCACCCATTCCAGCAAATTGGATTCACCAGTAGTGAGCTAGCCCTCAACACCCTGGAGAGGCATCCTGGGGTCCACTTTGTTGTTGAGGAGACAACTGAGTTCCAGAATTGGAACTGAGTGGGGAGCATTGGCTTGGGGGCCTAGAAAGTTGCATGCACGTACCCTCTCATTTAGGAGAGTTAGAGACCGGTTTCCCTTGTCAGTGGTTCCTAATATTAGCTGTTGCATCCCGTGGCCATGCCTGGTCTTCCTCACGTCCTGCTACCTTGGTTCCAGACTAACAATTAAAGAAACGGTCTGGGTCTGCTGCAACTCGTAGCACCTGCCCTCCCTTCCTTCCCCTGCCTGGTGCCACGTACGCTTCCCTGCCATTACACCTGTAGTGCGGTCCAGGACACCCCTAACAGCACGCTGGGCCCAACCATTGCCGACTCAGACCCCTGCAGGAGATCTGCTGTGAAACCAGCACTCAGTTATCCATTTCTATTTTCAGTATATGGGAATTCTTTGAACTCCTTGGGAGAATGTAGACGAAACTGAATTTTCGTTTGGGACTCAGTGACTTGTTTGTGGCCTGCTCCGTGACTGATTGAATGAACGTCTGGGAAAGCATGGGGCAGAGCTGCCTGCATGCCGGGTCCGTTGGATTCATTTGTCCATTGATTCATTCAGCTGCTATTTCCTGAGCACCTGCCGATACAGAGTCCAGTTTCCCTGAAAGGATGGGGGGTGCAGATGAGCAGATAGGCCTAGTTTTGTGCCCGCTCTCCCCTGCCCAGGCCATTTTTGCCTGCCGTGTGGCCCTCAGCCCCTGATGGACATGATGGCCGAGTGGCCCCTCAAAGTGCCCCTGTCCAGGGTGCAGAGAAAAGGCCAAGAAGGAGGCAAGGACTATCGCTTCAGGTGGTGGAGCCACTTCTGTGGAAGTGACACAGTGTCCTGCCACCAGGGCAGATTAAGACAATGGGGTTTGAAGCTGCCCAGTGGTCATGGAGGGGCCCTGCATCAGCCTGCACCCTGTTGCCCTCCAGCTGAGCGGCTCTGGGCAAGTCCTTCCCCTTCCCTGGGGGTCAGGGCCCCTGCCTCTTACTAGGACAGGGTTAGACTTCCAGGGCCCTTCCGTGGCTGCCCTGGGTAACGCCGGCCACCAGTCAGTGAGGATTTACTAGGTGCTACGGAATCTGCTTCATTTTACTTAATAGGCAGAGCAGCGTCGTGAGATGAGAACTAAAATAAGGCTTATTTTACAAATGAAGAAACCAGGGTTCCGAGAGGTTAAGCAGCAAGGCCAAGACCGGGTCGTGTCTGCCTCAGAACGAGGGCCTTTTGCCGCACTGCTCTGGGCCAGTGGTTCCCAACTTGGCTGGGCATTTAGAATCGGCCCAGGAGCTTTGAGAAAATTCAGATACCTGGGCCCTGCTCTGGATGAGACTGAAGCAGTTCATCTGTGGTGGGAAGCCCTGGGAATCTGGATGTTTCTCAATGAGGCTGAGGAGCACCAAAACCTGACACATGCAGCCTTCTTTTGATGTTCACTCTATCATGACAGTTGTGGCCAGTGTGGTGCTACCACATGCGTTGACCCTCCCCTCTCCCACTGCCAGTGAGCCAAATATGAAAGGACATCAAAGGATCAGCGACAAATGTCCCAGGAAGAGCTCTAAAGCTAAACAGGGTTGTTGTTTTTTTTTTTTTTTACATGAAAAAGTGTGTCAAGAGAAATACAGCTGAGCCTTAAAACACAGATTTGAACTGCACGGGTCCACTTCTATGTTTTTTTGATAAATACAGTCCAGTGCCATAAATGCGTTTCCTCGCCCTTATGATTTTCTTAATCACTTTTTCCTTTCTTTAGCCTACTTTGTCATAAGAATATAGTACATAATACATATAACATACAAAATATGTATTAATCATCTGTATATTATTGTAAGGCTTCCAGTCAACAGTAAGCTATTAGTAGTTAAGTTCTGAGGGGCATTAAAAGTTATAGTTGGATCTTTGACCACGGAGCATTCTTCAAGGGTCACTTGTATATGTGTTCTACTGTTGGCATGTAGGTAATTTCCAAGCCCCTCTCTTCCCACACATGCCTCCACTCCACCAGACTTGCTTTCCCTCTGCTTGCAGGCTGCGGTCATCAACATGACAGCCACAGATGACTGTATGAAGCCTTGAACGAGTAGGAAATACTGCCTCACTAAGTGCTTTGTTCCCAAAGGCTATGCTGTTAGAAATGGTGAGCAGCTCCCCCAAGGTGCAGATCGCAGATCAGGGCCTTTTCCTGTAGTTCCATATCTCCCCAAGCTGAGGATGCATCTGCAGAGAGGAATTTCTTATTTAGACAGCTTTATATTTTGAGGGGGGATGGTTGTAAGTCATTCTCATTAAAAACAAACAAGCAATAGAAAACTGTAGAGAATAGAAAGGGACTTGCCAGTCTCCCCAAAAGATGACTACTACAAATGGTTGTGTATATGGTCTTCCACATTATTTTTGTACGCACAAAGCAGTGTGTTGTCTCGTGTGTGTGCATGTGTGTAAAAATTCCTTAGTGACTGTTCTGCAACTTGTGTTTTCCCCTAAACAGTACATCTCAGACAGTTGCCCCAAAGCGCACACCCAATCTTCTTCATTCCTCTAAACACCCAGTTGTCGTCCATCTTATCACCACAGCCCGGTGCATTTAAGCAAGACAGGGAGGCAACCTAAAAGTTCCATGTCTATGTTGTGCTTTCCTTTTTAAAAATGGGGATATCTGCATCGAAAGTCATTGACTTCTTATCTACTATAAATCTGAATTTTCTTAATTTTTCCATTGGCTTATAAATTCTTACTATTAAAACACAGTTGCAATGCGTTTGTCAGCAAAATAAAATTTCTAAGTGTTGCCTGTTACATTTTAAAAAAAAAAAGGAGATATCTGTACACAGGTGGGAATTGAGAGCATCTGAAGTACTTCCAGTTTGCCCTCCAGTGCCTGTCTGGGGCGGCTCAGTTCGGTTAGTGACTTCCGCATAGTTTCAGTGAGCTCTCCCTCACGTGGACACAGAAGATCCTTTGTGGGGCTTTCTGTGGTGTTTAGTACACAGACAGCATGATGCCTAATTTGAAGTGTAACAAGACAGTTTAAATGAAACACAGCAACAAAGAAGCAAGCATTATAGTCCCCAAAATAGGCTGTATTCTATAGTTTTGACAAGCGTAAGTCTTGAAAGTAAGAGATGTTTTATCTTGCAAGTTTCCTGTTCATTAGCTTTAATGTGCCAAGGCTTTATAAAAATTCCTCCCTCCCTTCCTCTCTCCCTCCCTCTCTCTTCTTTCTGTCTCTTCTCTTCTCTTCTCTCTCTCTCTCTCTCTGTCTCTCTCTCTCTCTCTCTCTTTCTCTGCCACAGGGAACCACTAAAAGGAGACAGGAAGGAGATAGCTTCCAGTTTCCAGGCATGGGTGACGGAGGTTACCCTAATAAAATCAAGAGGCCTTGCCTTGAAGATGTTACCCTCTCTATGGGCCCAGGTGCCCATCACAGCACACCCTGTGCAGAGCTGCAGGTGCCTCCGTTGACAATGAACCCTAGCCCTGCCACCGTGGGAGTACCTGGCCATTCATTACCCCTCGAAACTAATCCCATGAATGGCAGCATAATGGGCTCACCATTTGCCGTGCCACCGGCTGCAGAAATGGGACTGAAAGGGCCCAGTGGTCCCTACTACGACAAGGCCAACAGCGTACCGGCTGTGGACCAGGAACTTCAAGATCTCCTGGAGGAGCTAACAAAAATTCAAGAACCTTCTCCGAATGAGCTAGATCTTGAGAAGATACTGGGGAGCAAACCAGAAGAACCACTGGGGTTAGAGCACCCACAGGCAACCCTAGGTACCAGCGCCAAGCCTCCAGTTCAGATGCCACACTTGGAGAGCCTCAGTTCTGGCAAGGAGTTTCCTTCTAGCTGCGGCCAGCTCCCAGGCGCGCCACTGCAAGTCCCGCCCTCCCCAGCTGGGCTCAGCTATGTGATTCCCACCAGCGGGAAGCAGGTGGCCTCGCCGGGCTCCTCAGCAGCACAGGCCAAGAGCCAGGTCCAGGGGATGCTCCCTGTCGCTTTGCCCCCACTCCCAGTGCCTCAGTGGCATCACGCCCACCAGCTGAAGGTGCTGGCAGCCAGCAAGCAGGGCTCCTCTACGAGGCAGCCGGGGCCCAACACCAGTTGGTCTGGCCTGCCTCCTCCAGGCCTCTCCTCGTCTTACCGCCCGGTGCCGTCGCCACACCCGCCGCCGCCGCCATTCAGCCCTCAGAGCCTCATGGTGTCCTGCATGGCGTCCAGCAACTTGCCGGGGAGCGCTTTCCAAGGCTCCCCCAATGCCTTACTGGCCAGCATGGCGTCCAGCAGCAGTGCCACGCTGGGGCCCCCCATGCTCTACACTCCTGAGAAGCTCCCTAGCCCGGCTCTCAATCAGCAGCCGCAGTTCAGCCCGCAGAGTTCCATCCTTGCCAACCTGGTGTCCTCTAGTGTCAAGAGTCCTCAGGGACACTTGATGTCTGCTCTGCCCGCCAACAACCCGGGGCCATCCCCGCCCTACCGCCCTGAGAAGCTCTCGAGCCCAGGCTTGCCACAGCAGTCCTTCACTCCGCAGTGCTCCCTGATCCGGAGCCTCACCCCCTCCAGCAACCCGCTAAGTCAGCAGCAGCCACCTCCGCAGCAGCAGGGAAACACCATCTTCAAGCCCATGGCCACCAACTCACCCAAAACCCTGAGCATGATCATGCAGCAGGGGCTGGCCAGCCCCAGCCCGGGGGCCCCAGAGCCGTTTACTTTTGGCAACACCAAGCCCCTGTCACATTTTGTTTCTGAGCCGGGCCCCCAGAAGATGCCCTCCATGCCTGCCACCACGAGGCAGCCGTCCCTGCTTCACTACCTGCAGCAGCCAACGCCAGCTCCGGCATCTTCTGCCACTGCCTCCTCCACCGCCACTGCCACCTTGCAGCTGCAGCAGCAGCCTGACCACTCCTCTCTCCTCCTGCAGCAGATGATGCAGCAGCCACCCCCACGCTTTCAGCGGCCAGTGGCCCCGGACTCCATGCCTTCTCTGCCCAGACAGGTAAGACTGTCTCACATCCGGTTGCGTTCCTTGGTTTTGGACATAAGAACTGTGTCTTGTGCTATTGATACTTGGCTTTGGAGGCAAATCTGGCCGTAGTCCTCTCTGAGACTGGACTTGACTCTGGAAAAGTCTGTTAAAGCCAACTAGTTCTGCGTGGTCAAAGTGCAGTGTTCATGAGGCCGAGGTTATGGTTTTAGTTCCTGTGCAAGTCGCTTAACTTCCCCGGGAGGAAAGCTGCACCCAGAAGGTGCTGTTAGGGGGAAGGAACCAGGAGAGATGAGTCAGAATCGCCTAGAACTGCTTTCCCCTGCACCGGGCCATGTAGTATGTTCCCTCACACAGGACTAGTGAAGGCTTCGTAGGATGCAAGGAAGTTGCACCAAGGCATTTAAATCCTGTCCTTGCTGGCCTATGGCTGCATGCTGAGTCTTCCAGAAATGCCCCAGCAAACTTCTGCTGAGCAGCTCCAGTGTGCCCTTCACCACTGCGCTGGCTGGACACTGAGGCAGGTCCTAAATGAAAAGGACAGATATGTATAAAGTAGTTATTTTTACCATCTCCATTCTACAAAGAAACTGAGGCTCGGAGAACTGAAATGACTTGCCCGGAGTCACATAGCCAGGGGCAGAGTAGGAACTGGGAACCAGTTAGGAAATCTTAGTCCAGAGCCCGTGCTCTTCTTAGAGTCACTATGACTTCTCCCCCTCCCTCACCTGCAAGACGATCAATCACTGAGCGCAGCTGATGCCTCCCCGGGGCGTGTAGATCACAGTTTCCCCTCGCCATTGCTCTGACCCCGGGTTATCTATTGCTGTGTAACAAATGACTCCAAGACATCTGCTTGAGACAACATGGGTATATTGCCTCCCAGTTTCTATGGGCCCGGAGTCTTGGCATCACCTAGCCGGGTCTTCTGGCCTTGAGTCGTTCATAGGGTCATAATCATCTCAAGCTCAACCAGGAAGGTTCTTGCTTCCAATCTTACTCCTGAGGCTCTTGGCTGGAAACAGTTCTTTGCAGGTGATTAGCCTGAGCCCTCATTCCTCATGAACTGTTGGTTAGAGGCCTCTCTTAGTTCCTTGCCTGTGGGCCTCTTCATAGACCATCTCACAACATGGCAGCTGGCGTCATCTGAGTAAGCAAGACAGAATGTGCCAGCAAGAGAGGCAGAGGGACTGCCAGCAAGTCGGAGGTTATGGTCTTTAGAACGTAGTCTTGAAAGTGATGTCCCATCACTTCTGCTATATTCTGTTCATTGGACACAAGCATGGGAAAGTGGGAATACCAGGAGGCAGGGGTCACTGGGTACTGTGTCAGATATCGGCCTACCCAGAGCACTTTCTGTCCTGGTCCCTCCTTTCCATTGCTTTCAGCCCTGCCCAAGTTCAAGTCCTCTTGATTCTTTGTCTGGACTCCGAGTTGACTCTTAAATTGGTTTACCCCAATAAACCATCCATCACTCAAAACATTACCTTCAAAAGACCTGACATAACAGAGACTTAATCATGTTTTACATGTTTCCAGGGGGCTATAACCTGGCTCCATCCATCTCCTTAGACTCCATGCTTATCGGGCCCTATCTGGCTCTTTGCTTCTATCATTTGAAGTGCTTGCAGTTCCTGGCCCACTCTGCCTTTTTGGCTTTTTGGCTTTACTCCTACCATTGCCTTCCCACCTTCCTTCTCCTGTCCCACTCGCACAGCTCCTAAGGCTCAGGAACCTTCCCCCTCCAGGAGGCTTCTCCGGGACCATCCTTGGTACTTCCATCTCCCACTCTGCCCCCTTCGTCTCTAGAGCAGCCAAGGAAGAGAGCTTGGCAGGAGACCTGGCCTAAGGGAAGCACCTATCAGGGCTGACCTCTTTTCTAAGGGCCCTGGATGAGTGTGACTGGGCCAGTCCCTGGAGGATCGAAACCGAGACTTTTCCATCCATGCCCCATGAGGCACAAGCAAGCAGAGCGCTCCACACCAGGGACCTGGTCCTCTGATGTAGGGATGCACCAAGCAGAGCACCCGTGGGCATGGCCAGGGAGAACTGCAGGCCTTCGCGTGCAGTTCAGGAGCACCTGGGTTTGAGTCTGTGGCAGGCCTCCTGCCATCTGTGTTCATGGAATCTCCCCATTGCAGGCAAAGTCCTCGGCCTGGAGACCCATCAGCAGCTAACATTGTGAGCCATTTGGGGTTTTTTTTTCCTTCAGTGGGGTACATTTGTAGCCTGACTGTGTGGCCTCAGAACCAGATCAGCTGGCTCAGAGGGAGAATTCTTAATGACCTGAGTCGTGAAAATCGCACCAAACTTATCTAGGTGAGCTGGAGAAACTGCTCAGGAGAAAGACTAGCAGCCAAGCTCCCTGAGGCTAGGAAGGGCTCAGGTGACCGCCACCAGCAGAGGGGAGAGCCTGGGCTCCCTGAACGGGAGGCTGTTGCTGCCAAGAGCTACCTTGGCTGCCAGCGCTGGCCAGTGCCCACGGGCCAGGCGTGCAACTCAGTACTTCACCTGCCTTCTTCTCGTTTTAGTTCTCAGAGGTAGAGGCCGTCATCATTCCCTTTAAAGCCAAAAAGACTGAGGCACAAAGAAGTGACTAGAATTGCCCACAGTCACACAGAAGTTAGGAGTCTGGCTACAGAGCCCATACTTGTAACCCCATGCATGGGGCACTATCTCCGGAGCCTTCTGCTCCTGCTGCAACCTCCAAACTGTTGCCTCTCCTATAAAATGGGCAATAGGTTATGATATGTTGGTTGAGAATCAAACGCATTAATACCTGTAAAGCATTTTGAACAGGGCCTGGCAGCACAAAGTACCTGCCAAGGAAGGTTTGCTATCGCTATGACCAACTTCTGGCCTTGAGCCTCCAGATCCATTTGGTGGGGGCTGGGATGTGGCTCTCAAAACCAATGCCATTGTCAGGACAGAATGTGAGCAATGCTCTCTTAGACCCCCTGCCTACCACAAGATTGACAGCCTACAGCCTCGCCGTTCTCCCTGTTCCAGACCTTGCCCAGTTGGGACAACTCCAGTCCTGGTGGAAAAGGGAAAAGGTGGGGTGGGGCGCCTGAGAGGCTCAGTCGGTTAAGCGTCAGACTCCTGGTTTCAGCTTAGGTCATGATCTCAAGGTTCATGAGTTCTAGCCCAGCATCAAGCTTTGTGCTGACCTCTCTCTCTGCCCCTCCCCTACTTGTGCTCATGCTTTCTCTCTCTCTCTCTCTCTCCTCTCTCTTTCTCTCTCTTTCTCTCTCTCTCTCTCTCTCTCTCTCTCTCTCACACACACACACACACACACACACACACACAGATGAATAAACTTAAAAAAAAAAACAAACGGGCACCTGAGTGGCTTAGTTGGTTGAGCATCTGACTTTGGCTCAGGTCATGATTTCACAGTTCGTGATTTCGAGTCCCACATCAGGCTCGTGCTGACAGCTCAGAGCCCCAGAACCTGCTTCAGATTCTGTGTCTCCCTCTCTCTCTGCTCCAACCCCACTTGTGCTCTGTCTCTCAAAATGTAAATAAACATTTAACAAAATTTTTTAATTAAAGAAAACAGAATACACTTTCTAATTAAAAAAAGAAAAAGGAAAGGTCATCCTTGCCTGGTGGGTGGGGATCTCCTTCTCACTACCCCTCGCCCAGCTCCCTGTCTGTCCATGGCACTCTTCTAGCCAAAACACAGATTGGACATCTAGGTTGGGCACATCAATAGCTCACCATGCCTTCTCATGGCCTTTCTCCATTTTCTCTGAGGCTTGAGAACTCAGCCCTGCTCACTCTTCCGGGAGAAAGAAAAGAGGAAGCACACGCTTCTTCCTTCCAGCAGGGCCAGCTTGTCGAATTTCACTGATGGCCAGACTGAGCCTCAGAAAATACTCTTCACCTACTACGTGGTGACATACTCTACCTCGTTGCACTTCCAGATGTGAATGCGGCCCAAAAGCACTGGGCCTTCATTTTACTCGAGATTTCGGTTTCTGAAAAGTGTACTTTCTAAATGAAAAGTGAGAAAGTAACTGTTGAGTAAGCAGAAAAGCCAAGTCCAGTCATCTACAGGAGCTCATTTTTATTTGTAAACTCATATTTCTCACCTCTGAGAATTTCACTTGACCAGTTGGGTAAACGTTCCAATTTCAGTGGACCATTTGTTTGCACCGAAGGTAAAAGGCAAATGCCATCTGGCTCCAGGGTGGCAGTTTAGCATGGCAGTTGAATCAAGGGCACTGGGGTTCAGGTACAGGCATCAATACTGACTGAGCTCTGTGTGGGGAGCAACGTCACTTAGCCCTAATGAGCCTTAGCTGCATGTGAGTGAAGGAATAGTTCCCATCTCTTGGGACATTGGAAGACAAAGGAGGCACTAAATTGAAATTGCCGAGAGCCCTGCCTGGTACACAGTACGTGCTGTGCTGGGATCCACCACCTCTGAGGACAGATGCATTTCCTAATTCAGAATATTTGGGACTTTAGAAAGGTATTGTGATGCATTACCTTGTGATCACACAAGCCTCCAGTAGAACCTGGGGCAGCATTTCATTATTTCTGCAGAGAAATATGAATATTTAATTAAGTCCACATCGATTTTTGTCCCCCAAATGAGTTTTTTGGTGCCCAACTTACCAAAATAAAATAGGCTTTCAGAGCTTTTGGAGTTTGGAATGACAGCTGAGGGATGTGGGCTTGGAATTACTAAGGGAGGGACTTTTTGGAGTTGGGACACCCAGCCCTGCTGTGTCGGCTTTCAATGACCCCAGATCTCCTCACTGTATTCCCCACCCTACTGCCAAGGCTGGGTGACGTCTCTCTGCTTTTAATCAAGATGAATTTTGTTTTCACAATTTAGGGCTCCTTCTCCCTGCAGACTTATTGGAGATACATGCAAAAATCAGAATTAGGACTTCAATTTTACCAGCAGCCACGGGCAAACGGAAGTTCCATTTGCTCAGAGATGAATCCAGGCCCATTGAGGAGACGGGGGCAGAGGAGGCAGCCCAGCTCGAGGGCCC